ATTTAACAAACTAACTAGTTAACTAATAACTATTCTATTCAAAAAAATCACTTTAAGGCTACTCAAATTCAAACAACATAAAACATTTAAATAATTAAAGTAACAATTAACATCATGGAAACAAATAATTAATAAAACAATTAAGATAAAATTGGGTTAAATAAATATGAAACCCTAACTTTAAAGTTTGGGCAAATTGTTGAGAACATATAGATAAGGAAGTAAAATTCAGCATGAACTCACCCTAATTTGATAGTGAGAAAGAGAAGGAATGCGGGGTGAGAGGGAGCGGTGTGGTGGTGGGGCCGTGTGAAGTAGCTGCAGCAAGGGATCGAGAGAATGCGAGGTGAGAGAGGAAGCAGGGACTACGTAGCAGCAGCAACACGTGCCTGTGGTGTGGCCGACTGTGGTGGAGGTGGCGATGGTGGTTGCGCTGGTCGCGCCGTGTCAATACCCAATGCAGCGGCAGCAACAGTAGTAGCAATGTTAGGTGTGGTGGTGGTGGATGTGTGAAGCAACGGCTTGGTGGTGGTAGGAGGGGTTAGTGAAGCAGCAAAAGCAGTAGCATTGGTGGTGGTGGTGGAGTGCCGGCGTTTGAGAATGAAAAGGGAGTGCAAAATGAAAAGGTTGAGTGAAACAGTGAAAGAGATGAAGCGGGGAATTAAACCGGGAAAGGGTTTTATTTTTAAGATCCCTCTTTTTAAAAAAAAAATTTGGCAGCGGTTTGAACCACTTCCCATTACAGTTTTGGGAGCGGTTCAACCCAAACTGCTTGCCATTCGAGGTATGAGGTTTTTTTGGGGGGGGGGGGGGGGTGGGTTTTTGTAGGGATTTCAAAGCGGATTTTAATAACCGCTCCCCATTTGGGGATTCCCATTTAATTTTTTCTACTAGTGAAAGGTTGTGGCAACGACGAATATTGTATCGAATAACCATTCGTTGGGATTTTTTTTTGTAGCAATTACAACCGATACAAAATGTTAAAATAATCACTACGGAAAGGTATTTTTCTTGTAGTGGATACATCCTATGATCAGAAAAAATGAAAAAATTATTTGGAACCATATACACTCATTAATAAGTCAAATAAAGGTTTGTGGTTGCCTAGAGGCATTGATGGGAAAGGCATACTTGTAATATAATACTAAATTGATAACTAACTAAGTAGCAAAGCTGCAAAGTGGATGGTTCTTACGGCCCAAGTAGCCTTTATCATGGGGTTTTTGAAAAAAACTTCTTCTTCTTCTATTAGTTTCAGGTCTGAAAATATTGAAAATCATCTAAAATTAAAAGCTATAATCCACACTTTCGGATTAATTTCGAAAAATTCTTCTACAATTAAAATAAATGTACAGGGTGCTTTCGAGATCATAAAACTTAATTGGTTTGAAATCATAACAAGCCTACCAATAATAAGCATATAAAATCTTCAAAATGTCAGTGATTTTCTCCCCTCTGTCTCTAAAATATTGCTTCGTTTTCTATTTTATATTAGTCCCTTTCAACTTGCTTCATTTTCTAGTTAAATATCATGGTCCCTATGATTAGGGTGGATAAAAGGGACCAATAGAGTACTGTAGTTGACTTGTGTAAATGTGTAATAGGGTTTTTTCTAGCTGAAAACCTTCTAGGACTCCAGCTGTTTTTGTGATACTAGAGGGCATTTTGGTCCTTTCTTGCATGGGAGTTAGGGGGAAGGCAATTTATGAGTGGAAATCTTGAACCGTTGAGTAGATTTATTTCCATTAAGTGCATGCTTGGATTGGGGGTATGTATTAGTCGGGTAAAAAAAGTTAAATTAAGCAAAATAAAAGTGAAAATAGGGAAGGAGGAGATAGTGATGGTATGATTGTAAGGAAAATTATGTAGTGATGGTGTGGTATGAGGTGAAAAAAGAGGAACTAATACCCTCATTTTAGGGGTAATAGTTACACTAGGAGAAGGGTGGGTAACTATTACCCTCATTATGAGGGTAATAATTCTTCCGCTCTCTCTTTTCCTCATGGCACAATTACCTTATTTCATTTATAAACATCATACCTCCTACAACACCACCTCTAATTGCTTATGTTTTTTCAAGTTTGACTTTTATTACCCCCTTGATATATTACCCCCAATCCAAGCAAGGCCTAATAGTTAACAACTTCATGTTTAGACTGACTCAATCATTTCCATAACCACATATATATGCTAAAGCGTTGTACAAGATATGTTAGACAAAAACGTCAATATAATGCTAAGACAAGAATTGGATTGTGAATCCTATGGACCACAATAGATTACGACAATTAGATGTAGAGTAAGTCATGGATGAGATATTAATTAGGACGGACAAATACATATATGAAGTATAAGTTGATACTTCATATTTAATATACTCCGTAATATTGTGTTTTTAAAGGTAAATCAGTATATGAACAAGTATTAAGAAATTCTTACATTATTATCAAAAGCTAACTATGCTTATGTAAAAATATATTGGTAAAATTCTCAAAAGATGGAAGAGTTATAAAACTAATTGTATCTAGTTAAGTAAAGTAATCTTTGGGAAAAAGTACATTGATGAAATTATGCTATTGTTTCAAATATGAGGCTCCCAAATTATTATTGTCATATGTGCTCATAAAACAACAACATTTAATAGTTAAAATCTCACCTACCCAATTGGGTGGAGAAATATAATAAATATAATAACAAGTAATCATGTTAGCCTGCATGTGTATATGAGGAAAATTCATCAACTAATTAACTATTATCGATCTCCCAATCTTCCCCACTCAATCTAACCACATTTTTGCGCTGCTACCAATAATAATAATAATAATAATAATAATCTGTTATATAATAATGTTCCGTAATAATAGTAATAATTATGATAATAATTTTGATGTTGCATGATCTTAGTCTTCTTGTATTTTAATATGTTATGTAACTCATATACCAACCCAAAAGTGCTAGCAAGAGGTATAATAATGCAGGAAGTATTAAATGAAAATCAGGACATAGGATCAGTGCCCATATCTAGAATGTTCTTAATTGTTATACAATATCTTATCATTTTCAAATTTAGTTATTGATCAATAATTCTTATTGGGGAAAGAATTTAAGGCCGATGTTCCGCATCACAATCCTCCTCTTGCAATTTCATTCAAGCGATATTGGAGACTTGGAGTAGATCAATCACTCCATGCCATTCTCGCAACATGTATTAACAATTTAACATTAAAAGACAGCGACAATAGCAGTATTTGTCATTTTTAAATACTAATGCAATTTAATTTTATAACTACGTGTCTTTTTAGTCTTATTACGTCAAAATAATTTTAATAATAATTTAAAATTTTCCTAATATATAAATGTTAAATGTGAAATCATTTTTCGATTTCACCACATGTAATTTGATGGGTCCTTAAGCAAAGCTAGCTACTTCAACCAAAATGGCTGACTTTTTGATCATGTGAATGGAGTAAATTTGTCTTGGCTAGCAAGGTATTTATTGTTTGATTAGTAATTATCCAGAAATATATTTATTGGGGCTGGCTTTGTATTTTTGGGTTAAATGGAAGAAGGTGGCAATGTGGTACGATTGCGTTTGTAACAATAAAACTTTCAACAAAGAAATTGCAGTCATAACTGACTTGTTCACGAATAAGTATCACAATGGCCCCTATCTATATATGCCACATATATAGTAAACTATATTATGATATTATCATATGTCAATGATAATCATATGCTCTTGTCCATCATCATAGACTTAATTATAATCAGTTCATATGATGAGTCGTGACTTTGATGGTCGTGTGCTTAATTACTCCTAGTTAGACCATCATCACTCATGGTATAGAAATTTATACCATCTCTCTCTCTACTATTGTATTTTCTCACTCATCCACGTCATCTATACCACAATACAATATACTTTATCCAAAAATCATCCCACCCATGGTATTAAAAAAGTTTACCACCACACTTCTCTCTCCTATATATATTAATTATACACTTAATTTAATTATAATTATATTTCAGTTTATTATTGAAAATAACTAATCAATATTTGTAAAGTTAATTAAATAAAATAAGCAATTTAGGTAGTAAAAAGCGAATTCAAAAAATATATAAAACTATATCAATATGGGTGTCTATGTGTAGGTCTTGAAAAATTAAGAACAATGGTGATTTTTTCATAATTTTTTACTTTATAATTTTTTCTTAAAATGCAATTGAAAAAAAAAAAAAAAAAACATGATAACCAGGCCACATGGCGTGACCTGATTGGTTCGTGTTTCACGGGGACCAAAGCAAGTGTTTACCATGTGATGGTATAGTTTTATACAACCAATGTATTAAAAATTTGTAAGATTTTGATGAGTTTTTACGCCGTGATATGAAATTATACCACGGGTGTTGAAGCTCTTATTGGGCGATTTGTGACGAGTTTACTATGTTAGAAAGTACTACGTAGTAATGGCCGAAGTCAATTAAGGGTCTAATTGTTTTTCAATTTAACTTACTCCCTTCGTCACACTTTAATTTGTCCACTATTCTTTTTCAATTGTCCCATTTAGTTTACCTCTTCTATATTTAGGAAGGACTCACTTGTTTTTACTTTATCTCTTCTCACTTCTAAAAGTAAAGGTCCCGCATGCAATTTCTATCATTCAAATATAGAGTATTCCACTATCCACCAAACCACAATCAATCAATCAAAGCTTTAATCTCATAAGTAGAGTCGGCTACATGAACCAAAAGTGATTATTTCGTATATTTACCCACAAAAAGCTTCCTCCTCCATCCCCTACGATCAAATGCATCATCCTCATGCAAATCTATATTACTTCATATCCTTCCTAACTCCTTCCAACCAAACCACAATAACCTCTAAATTTAAACAATGTACAGTATTAAAATTACAATTGATAGTCACAAATACACAATTGTAAACTTCATCTAAAACTGTGTGACTTGATAAGGTGGCAAACTTAATTGGAACTATGGGATTGACTGTTTAACCAAACAAGCTTCATTCAACAATGGTAGCTGATACATGGAACAGCAATTCAAGTTTCAAAAATACTCCATAACATACAAAGTAATTAGTATTTAGATATACAATTACTTTAACAGCTGGAAAACCATTCTGGCTTGATTCAGGTCTAGCTACAGACCATTTTTGGGAGCCATATATTAAATTATTCATTTTTCTGTGTTTTGCGATTAAAAATCCTATAGAAAAACGAGACTAACCATTGAAAAAAGAAAGCTAACCAATTGGTTTTCTGGGGCTTGGGTTCAGGTCTTGGTCCTAGTATGCCTTTGTACATCTCTTTCTGCTTCTGATAGACAACCTTCTCATGTTCAGCAAGCAACTGCAACTCCCTCACAATTGCTTTGTCAGTAGGAGCATATTTGCGAGCCTTAAGAAGATCTTCTCTTGCTGCTTCTGTTTGCCCAAGTTCTGCTCTTGCTTTTCCTCGTCTATACAGAGCCTTCACATTGTTTCCATCCTCAGCTAAAACCTGACAGTGTATCATCCAGCAAATATTCAGTGTATAGTAGTAGTTGTAGTAGTAGTAGTTAATAGTAGTAGTAGTAGTAGTCTTAGTAGTAGCAGTAGTAGTAGGTAGTGGTAGTAGTAGTAGCACTTGCAGTAGTACTAATGAAGGGTTGAAGACCTCAGTTTATCCCAAATAAATTAAAAAAAAAAAATCTCTGAAGTCACTTGTTGGATTCACTACTAGACAAAATAAGTCATAAAGTAGCTTTTGTAGGAGTACACTTCTTCAGGATTCAAACTTGATATATACAGGGAATACAAAAAATAAAAAAGGAGTTTATTGCTAAAATGCTTTTGGTCCATGAGAAGATTTGAAGGGAAAATACATAGATATAGGTCCTCACTTTCAAAGACAGGTCTTTGGCACCCCCCATGCAAATGCATGATAAAAAAATTACATCTATATATAGGTCCTGACTCCTCATTAACACTGGATATATGTATACCCTAATATGAGGCTAGCAATATTTTTGATGTTATCACGAGGAAGAGCAAAACAGATCCAGGACTAATATGCTCACTAACAGAACCTGGAATAAACTTTGTTTAAGTATAACATAACAACATAGACAATCATGCTGAGAAGCTGAAATGAGGAAAAGTGCACCGAAAATCAAGGGCATATAGAACATATTAAAGGAATTTTTCACGAAGTATTAAACAATCGGACCCACAAAAAGCTGTGATTGAAAAAAGGATGTTCTGCAGACTCAGTAAAATTCTCTTAAGAGCTTTTCTGTAATGCTACCAGTAGAATAAATATTACCAGAACTTATTATAATGCCTTGACAGTAGCATTATATTATCAAATCAGGAAAGACAAGCTTTACTCTTTAATGAGACTTCGAGAGAAGGAACTCACAATGCCACATTGCATAATGGCATCCTCATATTGCTTGAGCTTAATAAAACATGCAGCCATGTTGAGATGACAAGGATTCTTGACAGCCAAAGCCATATCATGGTACTTTCCAAAAAGCTGGAACATGAAATCATCTCCCATATATGCTATTGCCTAATGCATCAGGAGATACACATATATATTAGATTTTTGAGATCTAATATGAAGCAAAAACAAGACATGACAATAATATGATAACAGTGATCAAGGAAGTAACCATTTCATACTGTTGTATGGCTTCCTCCGGTTTATCTTCCACATATAAAGCATTGCCATCCATCCTTCTGCGATCTGCAGCACCAATCCTTTCCTCAACTGTCATGTCACTGCGTGATTTACCCTACATCACATATGCTGTTAAATTTAATATATATAAATTAAAAAGCAAATTAATAAACTTCCAGATAACACAACACAATTAATATTAAAGCTGTCAGATGATTTCATACTTCTTTGGTTTCATCAAAACCAATGAGTTCAGCTTCATAAATAATATCTGCCATGGGTGGAACATTTGGAAAGGAGAAGCTTCCTTCTTTTCCATAGCCTAGTTCCCAACCAACATGTATAAGGGCACGTTCTCCAGACTTCATGCTTGAAATACCAATTCTTAAGCCTTCCATCTCTTTCTTCTCTGTCAAAGAAACAATAATTCCTGCTCAGTATTGTATATCTACAGTCCAGATGACTAAAAGAATATCATCAAGGTCAACCACTCAACTAAATACAAAAACTTGCAACTAAAATGCTTTCAGAAACTGTGTCTCTGCTGCATTTATAGCTTGTGACAAGTGAGATAATGCCACAAATGTTCACATCAGATGACATTTTCTTCAACAAATTTCAATGATGACAGGGAGACAAGACACTAAGCATTTGGAGTTTGGACAGTTCATGGAGTCAGAATCCAGAATACATGCATGGACGTGCACTGCAGTCAGATGCAGCAGCTCTTGGATATGTGCTTGTAACATTGTAACATAAGCACAGGTGTGAGGTGGGAAAAGAGAGATGGTAATCACAATAGGATGATGAAATTTATATCACAACACAGGTATACACTTATAGATAGTCAGGTAATAGACAAGCTAGCAGTGGCAGGTGTTATAAACCTTCAAATCAGTGCCTCATAAGTCATAAGTCATACCTTCAAATCTTTCAATGACCCCTTAAGTGCCTACATGAACCTTTAATTCACTTTCAGCAAGAAAACAGAAACATTGTCCTATAACGCATTGCAGGATTTTTCATAAATATATAATTCAATTTGCATCCAGTTGCAGCAAAGTAAGGTTGCAATAGATTCTAGGTGCCTTAATTAAACAAAAGTTTAAAGTAACTTTAATCTTCATCAAAGAAATTCAATCTGATTAGTAAACACCAGAAGCAAAGCAAGCACAGTTAATGAACCAGCATTTAGTTTGTAACAACTAACAAGTAACTCTATTATCTCATAGCCAAACAAAAAGAAAATACCTTTGCCCAGAACTAGCTCTACTGGCCGTTGCTCCAGCCATGTGTCTTCAAACTTGTGTTGCGTGCTCTCAGTCCACGCCCTGTAATGCACTATCAGAAGGGGAGAAATACACAATCATATAGGGGCTATGGAGGGAGGAACGAGAAACTGATTTTACTCTCTGCAAGTACAGTAATAAATAACTACCAAAACCTTATTTTGAAATTGTAAATCTAGCCATGGGAAGGAAAAAAAAACATTGACACATGCAGTCACAATTTAGAGCAACGGAGATGTGCCAAACAAAATTTTATCAATTTATTTAACAGGTGCATTTCAAGACCAAGAAAATTAAAAAAAAAAATACAAGTTCTAAATATATAGATAAAATAAAAGATAATAAATAAAAAATTTTAAGAAAAATTGAGAGTACCAGTTAAATTGTTTAAAGTTTTACTCAAAAGAACATCAAGTGTCATCAAAATAAAAAAAAGACATGGTACTATATTAGTATGGTACTTTAACACAATGAAAGGTGAAAGTAATTCCATCTATATAAACAATGAGGAAAAAAATTTCCAACAATATGAATATTCAGCAGAATCAGCATTTAACATATTAGATGGAGGCTGTGACATGATACTGACCAAAGCATGTGGAATATTTGGATGGTTTTTCACCATGACCTTCCTTAATAATTTGCTTGGTAACTTTCTCGTGAAGAACCTCAACTTCAGCGTCCGATTTTGGGGGGGTATTACCACCTTGATGTGGCTCCTCGTGAGTAAATGCTGCCTTCTCAGTAACAATATCATTCTTTCCATCTTCACCTACATAGGAGTATGGCAATCTGAGATGTTTAAAAAGATAGAACTCTAGAGTCTAAAAATCAATTATTCATAGAACTGTACCACATAATTTCCTAGCATGACTTTACAGGTACTATAAAACTGCCAATCTGGTAGTAAACAGCATTGAATTGACTCTAATTTAACAATTAAAATTATTAAATCAGCACTCGATGACATTATAGTATAATCCAACAGTCCATAACTGGGTTTATTCATCATTTTCAAAAAAAAAAAAAAAAAAAAAAAAAAAAAAAAAAAAAAAAAAAAAAAAGAACACACACACACACACACACACAACTCCTCCATATTGCTCAAAATGCTACCTCCAATCCCAAAGGTTCAACTCAAAGCTTCACTAACCCTATCTGTCTAATTCACAAGGACCTCTCCTTTCTCCAGAAATCCCATATAGTATAAGTCTAATTTGGCATAAAAGTTACAGGCTTACAGCAATAGGAGAATTTGATTCCCATAGAAGAAAGAGAAGCCCGAAAGGGACACTTGAAAACAATAACAAGGAGAATATATAGGAAACACTGTACCTACAGGTTGACTTTGTTGCTCTACTTCATCCTCCATTTTTCTTTACAATAGCACAATGGGGTCTTCTAGTGTACCTGTTTAACAAACCAAACTCATATCAAAATTTCGTTAATTCCAAATTTAATATGAAATATATTCCCTTGAATTGAATAGTGAACTTTTAAAACCCAATTCATACACGAAATGGATAATATAAAAGAAAAATTTTGAGAGCTACTGAAATATAATTTAATATCTCAATTTGTGATCAAACATTGGCATTACCACAATCTCCATTTCCAGTGACACGGACACAAGTCCAAAATAGCCTACCAATGACCCAAATTTAATCTGCAATGATGTACTTCAATCAGCAACGGTTTTCACACATCCCTCATATGGATGTCCCAAAATTTTTTTCACCTTTCTCGATGAAGCTTAATAAAAATCATCCCTCTCTATCACATCAACCTCATTTCTCTTAATCCCCCTTCTTTCCCCTATTTTTTCTTCTCTCTCTACCCACAAGCAATCTTTGATCTACTTAAATACTGTAACTTTCATTCTCTCATATACTCATTCAAGCACCTACTGTAATTTCACTTCCCAGTGCCCACTAAAAATCTTAATTACCATGCCAAACTCTTGTATGAAAGATTATTTTGGGCAATATATTTTTAATTTCCATTAATTATACATAATACTTTCAAAGAAGCCCTTTTTGCCAACAAAAATCAGCACCTAATAACCAGTCGACACGTTCATCCAGCAAAAGTCCCCTCCTTAAGACATCATAAAACATTACATAATACTAATGAATATGACCACATTGTTGCTTTATAAACATATATCAAAGGCATAGTTTTACAGCATCGAGTCACAATCCAAGATCAACATAACCACAAGATTCCATTTGCATTTTATAATTGATTAGATTCAATACCCATACTGGATAAATAAACAACATTTCAATAACATAACAGCTTCCCGAATTTAGTCAATTTCTCAATAATCTATCCACTAGACTCATCTTAAGATCCAATCCCGTATACTTAGGTTGAAAAAGAAATCAATTTCAACCCAAACTCTCCATAGTTCATAGACACTCTAATCCCAAGAATATCACTCTCATAATACAGTATACTAGCACTATGATTACTAACAAATTAGGCAACACCAACACAATTAGCATACATATTTAACAGCCGTCGAAATCAATTAAAATCGAACACGTAAAAAGATCACCTCACTGAACACAAACAACATTTTGAAAGCCAAATCACATCCAAGACAAATTAGCATACTCAAAAACCCTTCGCTAGTGCTTATTGGGTTTACAACAATTTAACCAATTAAAACAATTAAATAACCTATAAGATTTGTCTGAACACTATTCAAATAAATTGCACAAAGATCATCATCATCATACTTCATTAAAATCATATCACATCAAATTCATATCAAATTGAAGAATTTCTACATTCGCATACATTCAATACGTTTAAAACCATACTACATAGTCTTAAATATAATTTCATATCAGAAATCTATCAAAATTTCTAAACTATAATTTCAGAATTAATAAAGTTATTTCTGAATATCTGAAGTATAATTATAAATTTTCTTTCTTGTTTGTAACAGGCGGACAGTTGATAAGAGAGAAGGGAGAGGCGGCTTACAAGGATGGCGAAAATGGCGGAAATTTCGCCGGATTTAAGTTTCCGATGGTAGAAGAGAGAAAGTCAGGAATCGGCGTCAAAGGTAGCACCACAAAGGACTGTTGAAAGAAAGAGACGCTCTTAAAGATGAACAGGTTGGATGAAAGCGAGGGATACCTAGGAAATGTTGGATTGATTCTCATTACCCGTCTTTATACTCTCTAAACTAGTATTTCGGCCTGAATTATGCCTCACGTGATTATATTTTTTTGTTGTAATTAAATTTGTTATATATATTAAGATAACATAAAATATCACATAATTGGTGGAAAGATTAAAAAAAAACTCCCTCCCTTTTTTTCTTTCCTTTTTTTCAAATTTTATTTAGCCTGAAATTTTCTTTCTTCATTCCGACATTAGTATTTTTGCAATAAAAAAATTGATTTAGTATGGGAAAAATTGCCCAGAATAATCCGACATTTGCCTCATTCGCCCAAAATAATCCCACCTTCTTATTATTTTTTAATAATCCGACATTTATACCCAATCCACTCTTAATGGCCCCAAGTGACCGGTTACCTGAGAAACAGGTTTTTTTTATATTTTTTGGTTTAAAGTAAACGTGTCACAGTATAATTTGTCTAAAATTTTAAATTAAAAAAAAATGAATTAAAAAAAAAACGACAGCCACCCAGCCACTCCTTCCCCAGCCCCAGCCACCGTGAGATCGGAGCAACAACCGTGACATCGGAGCTTGCGTCGCCGTCGTCGCTATTGTAGGTGGTCTGGGCGGCCGAAATCAAGGTGAGGGAAGGTGAGGGAGGCCAAAATCGGGGCGGGGGAAGGTAAGGGAGGTCAAACTCGAGCCGGGGGAAGGGGAGTGAGGCCGGAATCGGGATGGGGAAGGGGAGACGTGCCGGAATTGAGACGGGGGAAGGGGAGGGGGCCGGGAATTGGGACGGAGATGGGTTTATGAGGGTGAGGGAATGGTTTTATGGCTCGTCGAGTCGCCGGTGCTTTAAACGCTTCCTGGGTTTCGTGGGGGAGGGAGGGGATTAGTGGTTCAGGGGAGGGGGTCAGGCGGGCGCGATGCCAGCGTTGGGGTTGGGGGTCTGGGTGGCCTGAGCAACGGGGCAGGGAAGTCAGGCGGCGAGGAGGGAAAATAATTTTTATTTTTTATTTTTTATTTTAAAAAAAAACTTTAACTTTTTTTAATATTTATTTTTTTTATTTTTTTTTGACAAATCATGAAATCATAGGCCGACATGTGTCAAATAACTTGTTATAACAAGTTGTATGACCAGTTGGGACCATTTTGAGCAGATTGATATCAAATGTCGGATTATTTAAAAATAATCGAAAGATGGAATTATTTTGGGCGGATGAGGCAAAAGTCGGATTATTCTGAGCAATTTTTCCTTTAGTATATATGTACATACATTGTTTTTCTACTCTTACAAGTCATGTCAAGAAAATTCAGTTTGGTAGCATTTATATGTACATACTACCCTAAAAATTCCATTTTATTTATAATAAAGCCCCATAGACTTGTTTTTTATTTTATTTTTTTAAAAAAAAAAATCAAGTTTAATGCATCAATAACCTTGACATTGGTATAGGTATAAAATTCAAGGTATTTTGTTATAAATATAAAATTAAAGCTTTTTTTTTAAAAAAAAATGGAAAATAATTGTTGCATTAGTATTATAATTTTTATGAAATTTAATTACAACTATGTGTTGCACAAGACTTAAACTACTCCGTAGTATGTAACTAAAAGTTAAGGAGTAAAACTAAAACTAAGGAACTACTTCCACTATACCTTTTTCATTGCATCATAAAACAAAGTTCACTTTATTAAGTAGTGAGGTAAAATTGTGCACATGCGGTAGTTAATGGAGTTGATGAAGATAAAGAGGTCCAAGGGTGCAACAGCCAACTACAGTTACTAAGTGGAAAATTTTACTACCAAATAAGTTAGTGAAGTAATCTCAAATGAACACCCTAAAATAGAATCAAATAAACAAAAAGGAATAAAGAAAGTAATTCTTTGAATTCCTATTTTCAATTACTCTCTTCGTTTCGTAATAATCGCGATACTATTTTTTTATGTGTGTTTCATACTAATTGCAACATTTCCTTATTTGGTAAAGATCCACTATTATTTTACTCTTATTATTTATCTCTTCCACTAATCCCACTTTTATAAATATTTTATTATTTCTCTCTATTATCAATTCCACTTTATATTATTAAATTTTCCTTTGGTTTCCACCATATAATTTTTGTAAAGCTTTGTGTAATATTTAGTATTGCAATTATTTATGTGTGCACTTTGTGGATTGGGACATGATGAGTTCATGAAAATGTGTACAAGTATACAACTGTGCTCTTCATTTTATGCTTGATCTCATTGTTGGGCACTTGGGCCTAGTTGGGATCCACTCGGTTTGAAATAAATTGCAAATCAATTCAAATGATCACTACTTATGTTTCACTTTTGGGTCTTGAAATGCGTATTATTATTGGGGTGATGAGATACGAGTCAATTTGCTCATGTTTTAGATGGTCGTGTTATTCACCTTATTTTCTTTTACTTATTTTATGAAAATGAAAATTAAATGAATATTAGTTAAATTTAGAAAATAAAATAAAATAAATATTAGCCTGATTCAATTTATGACTTATATAGTTTTAAATCTATTTATCAAATTAAAAAAATTAATTCGTGATTATTAAAAAGTATTTGGTACAGCGATGATCATGAGTCAGATTGAACTTTTGATATAGCGTCCCATATCGAACCAAGGGAGCGAGACAAACCTAATTTTGAGTAAAAAAGTTTGCGTCAAACTTAACCATGCTAATATCGAGTTGGGCTGATGCATGCCTTTTCTAGCCTAGCCTAATATAGGCTAAAAATATACAATTTGAGCCCAAACATGAACTTTTTTCATTTCACTTCCATTATAGAGTACAACAGTATACTAGTATAGTAGTATGGGCTTAAAGAAGTGATACTTGTGTATTTGTGTTCCTTTTTAATTAATCTCCACATTAGTTTAGGGACTTGTTAAACATCGCCCGCGTTTTTCTACATAAAGCCCACATTTTTTAAAAATGTTGACATTATTGCCCTTGTTTTAATTTTTACCGAAAATAAAATTTTTCACTCATAAAAAATGTGGAGCAGGACTGGATCGCCGAGTGAAACCGAAGAGCCCTCAACGTCGGCTAGATGCACCGGAGAGACGCCGTTGACGCCGGAAAAGGAGGTACGAAGCCATCTAAAACCACGAATTGGCGGCTGGCGTCCTGCCGGGACGCCGTGACCGTAGTGGTGGCGCCTAGCCAGGACGCCGTCACCGTGGCGGTGGCGCCTGGCCAGGACGCCGCCACCGTGGCCGTGGCGTCTGGCCAAGACGCCGCCGCCACGGTGGCGGCGTCCTGGCCAGGCGCCACCGCCACGGTGACGGCGTCCTGGCCAGGCGCCACCGCCACGGTGACGGCGTCCTGGCTAGGCGCCACCGCCACGGTGGCGGCGTCCCGGCTAGGCGCCACCACTATTTTTTTTTTTTTTTTAATTTAATTTAAAATTTGTTTATTTTTTGATTTTTTTTGTGTTACAATTTTTTTCTTTTTTTTTTGGTTTTTTTTTTGTTTTGTTTTTAATTGTTTTAATTTGTTTTTGTTTTTAATTTGTTTATTTTTTATTTTTTTTTTTTACAATTTTTTTCGTTTTATGTTTTTTTTTTGTTTTTATTTTTTTGGTTTATTTTTATTTTTTTAATCTAAAGTTTTGTTTATGTTTTTTATTTTTGTGTTTTGTTTTTTTTTTTTTTTTGAATACTTTTTGTTTATTTCTTTGTTTGTTGTTTATAATTTATTATTGTTTTTGCTTTTGTGCTAATGTTGTGTCAAATGTATTAATTTAATCTACTCTTATGTGATTATATTTATATGTTATTGTTGCAGGATTATGGTGGAGACGGAAATGATTATAGTGGGATTTTTGTACACGATGGTCTGTTCGAAGATGCTCAACAAGCGGTTGATTGGGCGAAACAGGTTGCAATTAGATCAGGTTTTTGTTTAGTAGTAGCAACTCATAAATCTCAACGGGATGGTAGAATGGATCGCATTTTGAGATGCGACCGTTATCGCAAAAGGGAGGAACGAGATTTCAGTCAAGCGATTCGGTGTGATACAAAGCGGAAAGGTTGTGGGTGTCAGTTCAGAGTAAAGGTTCGACAACAGCAAAGGGGTGACGGTTGGGAAGTGAAGAGTTACGGTAAATGGGGGTATCACAACCATGAGATGATCGCATATGAAGTGGGTCATCGACAGTTAAGTGGCCTAAGTCCTGCTGCGAAACTAATTGTAAAAGAAATGAGTGATGCTCAAGTGAAGCCTGCTAAAATATTAGCATCTGTGTTGGAGAAATTTCCTGAAGACCAGCCAAACCGAAGACACATCTACAACGTCAGACATAAATTGAGGTTTGAACGGTCAGAGGGAAGGAACCCTATACAGCAGCTTCTACACCAGGCACAAGCACGTGGTTACCTGTACTGGTTTGAATCTGATGAAGACACATCGGAGGTGACTCATTTGTTCCTTGTGCATCCTGATTGTGCTGATATGATTTCGTCTTGGCCATCTGTGATTCTGATCGATTCAACGTACAAGACAAACAAGTATAAGTTTCCACTGGTTGAGATGGTTGGGATGACTCCAACGAACCAGAACTTTTTGATTGGTTATGCAGTTATGAAGGATGAGACGGTTGCGAGTTACCGTTGGGTGTTGGAGAAGTTGAGAAATTACATCGGCCCAAGTGTTCAGCCATCGGCCATCGTGTGCTATATCGGTGACTCATGGACTACCTTGTGCATGCACCATTCACCGCGTAATTACGCAAGATAGGGCGTCGTTACATGTTGATCAGGTTCATCCATTCTGGCGGACGCTCGTTATCGGAGAGCATGCTGTTCCACAGACAGTCAACCGTGAACATGAGGAGTTGGAGCAGTTTCGTTCGATGTTTGACCAAGTGTCCTCCAGCCACCCTTCAGTCATTCGTAGTGCTACCCACGTACTTCATGACATGTTCAACTCGTCGTGCTTGGATCATGAGGAACCTGAGGGGGTCGAGCGACCACGGGGCCGACAACCACGGCGGGAAAGGAGTGCGTTTGAGTACATTCGTGGTCGTGGTCGTGGTCGTGGCCGTGGTCGTACATCGTCATCAAGTGGTAGTCAAACTTCTTCGTCGGTGAATATGCCCGGCACCGGTACGGTACTTTAGTTTAATTTACTTTTTAGAGTGTTTGTCAAGTTTTCTGCTGACTTGTTAATTGTGTTTTTTGATGTGTGCAACAGGCAGAATGGACATTGAACATTTTCCATATAAAGACAGGATCCCTAACATCATGATGCCGTTCCTGGACGGGTGGAATGATGTGGTTGCAGATGGTAACTGTGGATTTCGGGTTGTGGCTGATGTGTTTCAGATGGGTGAAGACAACTACGGTTTAGTGCGTCAGTTGATGTACAGTGAAATCGCCTCAAACCGAGCTGTTTATCGCCACGTGTACGGACAGGACTTGGATAGGTCTCTGCAGCGTATCCGGTGGGGAGGAGGACGTTGCGGTCAAAATCATTGGTTCGACGCGCCCCTTGATCTCTTCGCCGTTGCAAACATCTACAAGTGTGCAGTGATGCATTTCGGCCTTGGTTTGCATGCTCGAGCTTACTATCCGTGTACCACGGTTCTGCCTTGGTGTTCGCGTGAGACCGTCACCAGACCGGTAAGAGAGGTTGCTATTGGATTTCTGGGGCCGTCATACAGACATTTCATCCGACTGGACCTGTCACCCGATTTTCCGGTCCCACCGATTATACCAACGTGGTACACCATTCGTACAGCAAGCGTAGAGGGCTGGGATGCGTTATATCATGACCGGGTGCAGCAGTGGAACAATCTAGTTGCCTTTTCTATGTGACCTAATATTGCTATTGCTATGTTTTTCCCATTTATTTAATTTTCGGATTCTAATTTTCGTATTTAGTTTTCCCATTTAAATGTGAACCTGTATTTAGTTTTCGTATGCCCACTAATTACAACTTAAAATAAAAGTTATAAAAACTAAAAATATAATGTCAAATTCTAAGAACTTAAAATAATAATTATAAAAACAGATAATGTTAACTTTTACAAACAACTAGGAAAATGTTTTATAAATGCACTGCCGACATATCAATAATCTCTCTGTGACGCCCACTGCCACTGCTCAAGGGCCCGTTCCAGTTCATCAATAACAGCTCTGCCTGTTGCAGTCGTCATGTTGTCCCTCTCCTCAAAAAGTCTGTGTCCCAACTGCGTCATCTTTCCCATCCACTACACATAACAAAACACATAAAATTCAATAACGACGTATTATGAGACGTATTATATGGAAAAAAACACAACTACAAATGTCTTATGAGACGTACCGCATCCACGGCAGTGGGCGGTGGCACATCATCATCATCGGCGTCGTCGCCGTGGTGGACGTCTCTGATCAACCTCGGGTGCGAGTGCCGGTTGTACCACTCCATGTAGTGCTGGTCACACATGGCAGCCACCCCAGTTGGCGGCCGCTGCAGCTGCTCAATCCATATGCGGGCAACCATCGGAAACTGCTCCCACGTGCCAATCATGCTTGCCGGCCATTGGACGACGTACTCCTTCGACGACGCAGATCGGATGGCCTTACTGGGCCATGCTGGTGGAGGAGGAACAACTTGGACATATCCAAGCTGGCGAAGACAGCGCTGCGGCATGTACGCCTCTACGATCTCACGATACTGAATCAGTCCCGTGTAGAGGGTCCTGGGTACCCTATTACTAGGGTTCTGGCCGAAAGGCATCCAGTTCACCTGCACATTTTTTAAAATTAGTAAGATTCATACAATAAACACATCAAACTATAAAAGTAGAAATAATTTAAACACTTTACCTCTAATGGGGACATCCTGTCAAGCAATAACCGTATCGATCGCAGGCGGTCAATGGACTTCTTCTCGACACGCGGACTCCACGCACAGGCACGTGGCTGGCCATCCCCAATAGGAACCGGGTCGCGGTGTGGTCGAAACGCCGGGAAATACTCGTATATCCACGTCTGTAACAACGTCATACATCCAGTGATACCTGCCGCATCAGCCCGGCTCGAGAATCCTAACTGGCGATACATGTACGCTAATGTAGCCGACCCCCAAGAAAACTGGCCTACTCTGTCGGGCTCACACGCGTCAACTATGTCGCGTGGCCTGAGCTTGTTTCCGCTCTTATCCGGAAACAAGGTACACCCGAGAAGAAGAAAAACATATGCAGCCAGCTGTGTGTCCTGCGTCCTACGTGAAGTGGGGTGCAAACATCGCTGCAAAACTGCTGCGATCTTAACACCGCCGTGATCCCACACACCAAGTGCCGCTGTGTACAGCGCAGCCCTATCCACCGCCAACAGCTCCGCCAATAAATCTGCCTGATCCGCATCTGTGACAACAGATGCTCGGTTTCCCTCTACGGGAATCCCAAGGATGGCCTCGACGTCATGCAACATGATCGTCATCTCACCGAACGGAAGGTGGAAAGAGTTCGTGTCCGGCTGCCATCGCTCAACAAAAGCCGTGATCAGCGTCGAGTCAATCCTCTCATGCATGGTGGCAGGAAGGTGGCTCACTCTAGTGGCCCTCAATCGGCCGACCATCTCGCTCTCCTCCGGCCAAGCCTCAGCCCAACTACACAAGAAGTTACAAGTCCTCTCCCGGGTTTGGCATTTCAAAATGCCGCTATCCAAAGCCCGCTCTTGGTCCTCCCAAATACGGGTAGCGATGTGTCCTAGAAAGCTAGGAATCACACTCCCGTCTATAGGTCCCCCAGCCACCTCGCCCCTCACCACCCAAGAATCATTAACGGCCCTCGACCGTTTTCTGCTAACCGCAGACACAGTGGACGCAGATGATGTGCCAGATCTACTAACAAATCTACCATCTCTACCCTTACGCACGTCTACCCTACGCGTCTCATACACATCATCAAGCCTCTGACTGAATGGACCGTAATCATCATATGGTCCACTCTGATCGTCCACATCCTCATCTGCATCCTCCTCCTCCTCCTCCTCATCACCATCATCATCTTCATCATCCTCAGAATAGTGCACCCGTTCTCTACGAGCCGAGGCCGAAATACCACGGGATCTAACGTGTCTGGGCCCCGAGCTCTCCATTGAGTTCATCGTACTTCTCATAATGTCCATACTCTTCCCAGCCCCAGAACGAAAATACGATGCCTAACACAAAATAACAAAACATGTAATATGCAATATAAACATGTAATATAAACATAAAAAAAGTAATTAAAATAAATAAATAAAACAATATACATATGATGGAAAATAAATTAAAAACATTACAAAATATTAACAACCTAAAAATAAAAAAATTAATAACCTAATAAATAAATAAATAAAAAATTGGAAAAAACAAAGAAAAAAAAAAAATTACCCAAAAAAAACAAATTGGAAAAAACAAAGTGAAAAATATAAAATTATAAAAACTTAAAAAAAGAAGAACATCAAAATTTTAAAAAAAATTTATAAAAAAAAAAAGGGAACATAAAATTTTTTTTAAGTAAAAAAACTAATTCAAAAAAAAAAAAACAAAAACAATAAACAAGAACATAAAATTAAAAATTAAAAAAAAAAAAAGAGGAACATAAAATTTAAAATTAAAAAAAAAAAAACAAATTTAAAAAAAAATCAAAAAAAAATTAATTATTTTCGAAAATTAAATTTCAAATTTAAAACCAAAAAAAAAAAAAAAAAAAAAATAAAAAGGCGGCGGCGCCTAGGCCAGACGCCGTAACGGTGGCGGCGGCGTCTAGCCCAGACGCCACCACCACGGCGGCGGCGCCTAGGCCAGACGCCGGTGCCGTGGTTCTGGCGCCTGGGCCAGACGCCACCGCCACCGTCACGGCGTCTGGCCTAGGCGCCGCCGCCGTGGTGGTGGCGTCTGGCCTAGGCGCCTCCGCCGTGGTGGTGGCGTCTGGCCTAGGCGCCGCCACCGCCTCCGACCTTTTTTTTTTAATTTTTAAACACAAAATTAATAAAAAATACCTTCTCGCCGGAAAACCGCTGTCCACCCGCCGCCTGTGCCGCCACTTCCTTGCCGGGCCGCCTCGACATCGCTCGGAAAGTTTTTTAGAGAGAGAAAGTGGAAGTAGAGAATAGAGAGAAGAAATTGTGTTTTTTACTTTGAGGGCAAAAGTGACATTTCACTCTAATTTTGTGGGCTTTATGTGGAGATTCGCGGGCGATGTTTAGCAATTCAGTTAGTTTATACTTTATATTCTAATTCTAATCTTAAAGTTGTTTTTATAACAATAAAAAATGTGACAACTCCATACATGTATTGTACAAGATTTTTAGTTTCAGAAAAGAAAATAAAAATAAAAAATAGACATATATTATTATTAGAATTGTTTTATTTCCATACAAGATACCTTTAGTTTATCTATTTTTAGATGCAAACAAGGAGGCACCTTCCGAAAAATCGAGAAAGATCTTTAGAAAAGCAAATGATGATTTTATATTGTGTTTCGGTACAAAAACAATGGGGCCTTCGGCAGGCCCAGAATGGGTGAAGAAGACGAATCTCGGTCCAAGTAATGCTGGAGCCGAGGGTTTCCTGCACAGCACAAAACACGTAAACTGGCCTCGGGGGTGGTGCCGAGGAAGGCCCCTCCGATGCCGAAGTGAGTACAATGTATATGGTCAGAGGAAGAAAGCTGTGCAAAGATAGTTAATGCTTGAGGCTTCTTGTGAATGAATGTAATTGTGTTGAAATGAAAGCTTTTATACCTTTGTCCATTTGACTTGATTGGGCTTGATCAGCCAAATGGGCTGCCATTTGACTGGGCCTTGCTACTATTGACTTGGCAAATTGCATGGAAGGTTGAACCTTTAATACTGGGCTTTAACTATTTTCATTTATGGACTGGGCCCAATTGTTGGCATTTTGGACCCCAAACAACTTGCCCCCCAGACCCGATTCGTGAGGATAACGGGTCGGGTTTGATCAGCTGAAGGACTTGGAGGAAAATGAATGAAAATAGTGTTTGAATATTTTTGATAATCCAATGCGGTTTAAGGTTACCGTTAATGGTGATTAATGAACCTTAATGACGGTTAACTAGTAACAATGGGGAAGTGGAGCGGATTACTTGATTTATTAGTGAGTGGGGAATACGAGCGGTTTTTTGGAGTAAATGGGATTAATGGAGTGATTAGTGGCGCGAATTATGAGAAATTGGTTTCCAGAAACTACTTAAGCCACTCGCCTCATAATTCTTCCCCATTCCCAGTAAACTGCTTCGCAAATTCATAACACTCGCTTGAACTCGTCCATTCTTCAACTCTCTTTCCCCTAATTTCTCTGCATTCCGAAACTTCTAAGCGAAATCCGGTGTTCCGAAATTCAAGATCGGCAATTTCCGCATCAAACTAAGGTAATTTTTTCTGGATTCTCCTCAGCTTTCGAGTTACCCTTTCTAGGTTTTCTATTTTCGATTTTCCGTTCAACCCAAAATGGCCGGTGACCGGGGAAAAGCGCCGGCTAGGTCTGAGTCAAGCTTAGGAGAGGAAGAGGAGTTACCTCAGCTAATTCCGAGGCGGAGTCGCCCATTGGCGATGATGCCTTTCCTCAGCGGCCGAAACCCCAATGCGGGGGCGAGGGTCGCTGCTGCATCAAGCGGAGCTGCGCTGAGGGCAGTTCCTTTGTCTAGTGCCCCTCCTGCTGATATGGGTGAGGCTAGCACGTCTGGCCGAAGGGAGACGTCAGCGTCAAGGCCATTGACTCCCGAGGAAAGGGAGTGGACTGACAGGAGGGAGAATGAGGGCATAATGAGTGCTGCGCCCTATTCTTGGTGGATCGAGAACAGTGCCCAGTACCGCTTCGCCGAACAAATTGAGATCTTCTACGACATTTTGGAAGAAGACGGTTACTGGTGCCGAATGCCCAGTGCCAAAGACAGGATTCATCGGCCTCCTCCCGGATATATCGGGGTTTACACTCGGCAGCTGCAGTATGGGCTGCGTTTTCCTGCTCACCCCTTCATCATTAAGCTGCTGAATGGGTATAACATATCCCTTTCTCAGCTAACTCCGGTCAGCATCCGAAGGATTATGACCTATCTCTGGGTCTGCTTGTTCTGCGGGTATGAGCCGAGCGTTCATTGTTTTCGCTGTACTCACAGGCTCGCGCTGAACACACAGTCCAACAAATGGCACGGCCGAGGGTGGTGGCAGATTGAGGACGAGAAGGGTTTCCTCTCGACCTATCCGAATGACACTTCGGACAAAGACTAGAGGGGGCAATGGATCTGGGTTAGGGCCCCCTCAGACGAAGATCATCCGAACTATTTCGGTGGGCCCCGGTACTTAAGGAAGCCTGATCCGAAGATGGCTAGCATTGGCCCTGATGAGTTTACAGAGGCTGATCGTCGTCAGATGGAGTTGTTTGGCCGAATAAAAGTGCCTGGAGCCACTGGCCGAATGGCGAATGTGCCGAAGAACTGGCTGCCCTGCTGCCATTACATCTTCCAAGAGAAGATGCTTGCTGTTGTCGGCCTCAGCCGAAGATACCAAGGCGGTAAGTGATTCGGCTGGGGCCGAGTCTTTTTAGTTACATGATTTTTCTTGCTTTCTGGCTTGTGATTTCTAATTCCTTTGGCTGAGCTAACTTCTTTTTCTCTTTTCAGAGCTGTACGAGGAGAACTCGGGCATCAGCTACGAAGTCCTTGGGATTAGTGGGGAGAGGGTTCCACTCACCAACACGCCGAAGATCACTGAATCTAAGGACCGACCTCTCAGCCTCAACCCCAGGAAGCTTCAAGTTGTCAGTGTCCTTGAGTACCAGCGGCAGAAGCCTTGGTACCGGAAAGTCGACCCCTTCTTCCTCCATTCTGCCGAAGAAGCTGCTGCTGCTAGCATCGCCGCTGCAGCTCCTCAAGACGAGGCAGGTCCTTCCACTTCAACTGCTGAGCCAGGAAGGGAAGCATCTGAGGAAGAGGATTCTGAAGACGAGCGCCTCTTGGAAACTTCGGTAAGTTCTAAGTGCATTTTTCATCATCATTATTATTGTTATTTTCTTCCTCTTCATTTTTTTTTTTTTTTTTTTTTTTTTTTTTTTTGCAATTGTTCAAGTTCAAACCTTCGGCATTTTATATTTTACTTATGCCACTCCTTCCCCCCCCCCTTTTCTGCTTCCAGTCAGACGAAGAAGAAGAGGAGGAAGTCGCTGATCTCTCCGAAGCTTTCCCCGTCCCAGAACTTTCAGCAGACGAAGGGATGGCTGGCGAGAGGCGAAAGAGGCAGCTGATCCGGCCCGGACAGTTCCGGGCTCCTCCTCTTCCCGAGAAGAGACCTCGGCTGGAGGAGGTCTAGCAAGAGGAAACTCGAGAGGTTATTTCCCCTTCTGCTGATGCTGCAGCTGGGGGGGAAACTGAAGTGAGAGCGCCCCCCCTCTCTCCGGGCCACGTGGCCAATGATTTCTTCGAAGAGGTCCGGAGAGAGG